AGCAGGGGTTGTAGGTTGAGTGTCAGTTTGCATTAAGTAATCTTGAATATTTTCAATAGTTTCTTCTGAGGAGTTGGTTGGGGAGTTGTGGGGGATAAAGGATTTCTTGTGAGGGGGGGAAGAGAGGACTGGTGTTTCAAGAGTAGGGGCAAAGGATGGTGGAGGTGATTGTGTGGTAGGGGAATAGGGGGTGGAACGTTTGTTCTGTCTGTTACGGGGAGTGCGAGGAGGGAGAGGGGAAGGTGTTGGGGTTGTAGTGGTGATTGGAGTATCTGTATTAGAGATTGGAGTTTCTGGATTTAGGATGGCAAAAGAGTTAGACTGGGGAAGGTAGGAGGTAGAAGTGGGGGGGTTAGATGTAGGAGGGGTGGGTTTTGGAGAAGTGTTAGAATGAGCAGTATTACTGGAGTAAGGAGTAAGAGAGAATCCACGTCGACGTGCTTCCTGTCTGGCTTCACGCAGTGTGAGTCCAAGTTTGAATTTGAGAGTTGCTACCTCAGATTCAAATTTGTAGGTGGGACAGCCCCTATAAAATACATTATGGGGGCCGCCACAGTTGGCACATGTGCGTGATTGTGCAGAGCAGTTAGATCGGGTATGGCCAGGTTGGGCACATAATGGGCATCTGGCTGTGGAACGGCAGTGTTTGGCTGGGTGTCCTAGACGCCAACAATTTTGGCACTGACGTGGAGGAGGTTGGTATGGACGAACAGGGAGGGATTCTCCTCCTATGTAGACGTTAAAGGGAAGGTCATGTCTGCGGAAGGTAATTTTGGCTATGTTAATGGGTTTCTTTCGATGACCTCTGGGGGGGATTGAGTAGCATTGTACTGATGTTGCATCGTAGTCTGTGAGACAGGCAAGTAGATCTTCTCCACAATCTGACCAATCTTTGTCATAGATTGGGCGATTTGCTGGTGAGATTGAGACTGTTCCGGTGCAAGTATTGAGGGTTGGATGGGGTTCTGCTAGGATGGGGTTACCATATTGGTCAGTTAGTTTTGTTAGTGCTATGGCTTGGTTTTCGGATGTTACTGTTACAAGACGGGAGCGGTCGGGTCGGCTACGGAAAGAGACTTTACCTACTTGTTTTTGGAGGCATTGTTGGAAGAGAAGGGTGTTGTCAGAGTAGGGAGCTGTGGGAGGGATCACGAAAAATCGGTCCCATTTGGCTGCACTGAAGAGAGTATTCAAGATTGTTTTAGAGATAGGGGTGGTAGAAGGGCGAGGGCGTGACGAAGATGGAGTAGTGTTGATGGAGGTAGTGTTATGGAGAGGTGGGCTATAAGGCTGTAAGGTATTAATAAGGGAGGATGGGGTGGTTGATGTTGGAGGTTGTGGGGGTAGAGGTGTTGAAGTTGGGTATGCTGGGAGAGTGGAAATGTTCCTTGAGGGTTGATTATTGGCTACTGTACTAGTAGGCATTGGTGAAGGGGTAGTTATTGCAGTGTTCGGAGCCGTGGTCAAAGGAGAGCCTGGGGTCGGGGTATCAGGTGGGTTTACTTCGTTGGGGCTATTTGATAAAGGGGCAAGCCTCATTGCCCCTAACAGTGGAGATATATTTTCATTACTGGCCATGGGAAGCCTGGATTATGTTGGGGATAAAAACAGTCCACCCCTCAGGGTCCCCTTGAGGGGTAAGGGCTAGATAACTAAATCAGGGGAATACCGTGCCCATGGCTCCCTCAGGCCGTTCAGGACTGGCACAAAGTCAGCCTTTCATCCTTTCAGCACGGCTCTCACACCTTAGGAGGTGGATAGCAGAAGGGTTTGGTGAAGGGACAGAAACAAAAGTGGGAAGGGAAAAAAAAAAGACCATGCATAATTAGTTGAGTCGAGGGCTGAGTCCCAAGGTTGGGGAGTTCCCCATCATTGGGTCCCAGTCTCCGCCTCCTAAGCCCCCCCACGACAACAACGGGCAAGGGATTGGGGGGGGTCCTCTTGTGAAGTAAAGGCTAGACAACTAAACAGGAATACCATGCCCATGGCTCCTCCAGGCCATTCATGACTGGTGCAAAGTCAGCTTTTCATCTTTTCAACATGGTTCTCACACCTTAGGAAGCAGATAGCAGAAGGGGTTGGAGAAAATAAAGAAATGGAGAAGGGGAGAAGAAAAGACACCACAGATGAATAACCTTAGATATATAATGAAAAAACATTGTAATTATGAGATTTTCCACAAGTAAGAAAAAATATTTGACTTTCTACAATTCAACCATTAATTTGTGGTTGTTTATATTTATAACCCACATTTTTATGCTTCACTGATATGTTAGTATTCATCGTCCTCTACTAAATCAATGTGATGGTCTAAATATCCTGCACTACTTGTTTTCGGTGTTTCTCCTTTTCTTCCTTTTCTCAATTCCATAATATTCCTTTTTTTTTAAGTAAAAGAAAAATCTGGAAGCACTATAGAATAGAAATATATATTAATCAGCAGTTCAGTTCAGGAGCACACACAGTACACAACTTTTATCCTTGTATTCCCTGTCACTGT